GACATGGACGTGGACGTGGACGTGGACTTGTGACGTGGACGTGGACATGGACGTGGTCGTGGACGTGGACAAGGACGTGGACGTGGACCGTGGACGTGGTCGTGGACGTGGACGTGGACGTGGACGTGGACGTGGACGGGACATGGACGTGGTCGTGGACGTGGACGTGGACGGGACGTGGACGTGGACGGGACGTGGACATGGACATCAACGTGGACGTGGACGGTGGACGTGGACGTGGACGTGGTTGGACGTGGACGTTGTCGGGACGTGGTCGTGGACGTGGTCGTGGACATGGACGTGGACGTGGACGTGGACATGGACGTGGACGTGACGTGGACTTGGACGTGGGACGTGGACGTGGACATGACGTGGACGTGGACATGGACGTGGACATGGACTTGGACGTGGACGTGGACTTGGACGTGGACTTGGACGTGGACGTGGACGTGGACATGGACGTAGACGTGGATGTTGACGTGGTGGACGTGGACGTGGACGTGGTCGTGGACGTGGACGTGGTCGTGGACGTGGACGTGGACGTGGTGGACGTGGACGTGGTCGTGGACGTGGACGTGGTGGTGGACGTGGACGTGGACGTGGACGTGGATGTGGACGTGGACGTGGACGTGGTCGTGGACGTGGACGTGGAGGACTTGGACGTGGACATGGACGTGGACGTGGACGTGGACGTGGACGTGGACGAGGACATGGACGTGGTCGTGGACGTGGACGTGGACGTGGACGTGGACGTGGACATGGACGTGGTCGTGGACGTGGACGTGGACATAGACGTGGACGTGGACGTGGTCGTGGACGTGGACGTTGACGTCGACGTGGACGTGGTTGTGGACGTGGAGGACTTGGATGTGGACATGGACGTGGACGTTGACGTGGATTTGGACGTGGACGTGGACATGGTCGTGGACGTGGACGTGAACGTGGACGTGGACATAGACGTGGACGTGGACGTGGACGTGGACATGGACATGGACATGGACGTGGACGTGGACGTGGACGTAAACATGGACGTGGACGTGGACGTGGACGTGGACGTGGACGTGGACATGGACGTGGACATGGACGTGGACGTGGACGTGGACGTGGATGACGTGGACGTGGACGTGACGTGGACGTGGACGTGGACGTGGACGTGGACATGGACGTGGACGTGGACGTGGACGTGGACGTGGACGTGGACGTGGACGTGGACATGGACGTGGACGTGGACGTGGACGTGGACATGGACGTGGACGTGGCCGTGGACGTGGACGTGGACGTGGACGTGGTCGTGGACGTGGACGTGGACGTGGTCGTGGACGTGGACGTGGTCGTGGACGTGGACGTGGACGTGGTCGTGGACGTGGACGTGGACGTGGACGTGGACGTGGACGTGGACGTGGTCGTGGACGTGGACGTGGACGTGGTCGTGGACGTGGTCGTGGACGTGGTCGTGGACATGGACGTGGACGTGGACGTGGACATGGACGTGGACGTGGACGGGACGTGGACGTGGAGTGGACGTGGACGTGGACGTGGGGACGTGGACATGGACGTGGACGTGGACGTGGACGTCGACGTGGACGTGGACGTGGACTTGGACGTGGACGTGGAGTTTGGACGTGGACTTGGAAGTGGACGTGGACGTGGATATGGACGTAGACGTGGACGTTGACGTGGTGGGCGTGGACGTGGACGTGGACGTGGACGTGGACATGGTCGTGGACGTGGACGTGGACGTGGACGTGGACATGGTCGTGGACGTGGACGTGGACGTGGACGTGGACATGGTCGTGGACGTGGACGTGGAACGTGGACGTGGACGTGGACGTGGACGTGGACGTCGACGTGGACATGGACGTGGACATGGACGTGGAGCGTGGACTTGGACGTGGTCGTGGTCGTGGACGTGGACGTGTACGTGGACGTGGACGTGGACGTGGACGTACACGTGGACATGGACATCAACGTGGACGTGGACGTGGACGTGGACGGGGATGCTCGTGGACGTGGACGTGGACGTGGACGTGGACGTGGACACATGGACGTGGACGTGGACGTGGACGTGGATATGGACGTGGACGTGGACGTGGACGTGGACGTGGACATGGACGTGGACGTGGACGTGGACGTGGACGTGGTCGTGGACTTGGACGTGGACGTGGTTGTGGACGTGGACTTGGACGTGGACGTGGTTGTGGACGTGGACGTGGACGTGGTCGTGGACGTGGACGTGGTCGTGGACGTGGTCGTGGACGAAGTCGTGGACATGGACGTGGACGTGGACGTGGACATGGTCGTGGACGTGGACGTGGACGTGGACGTGGACGTGGACATGGACGTGGACGTGGACGTGGACATGGACGTGGACATGGACGTGGACATAGAGGTGGACGTGGACGTGGACATGGACGTGGACATAGAGGTGGACGTGGACGTGAACATGGACGTGGACATGGACGTGGACGTGGACGTGGACGTGGACATGGACTTGGACATGGACGTGGACATGGACTTGGACATGGACGTGGACATGGACGTGGACATGGACATGGACGTGGACGTGGACGTGGACGTGGACGTGGACGTGGACGTGTACGTGGACATGGACGTGGACGTGGACGTGGACATGGACGTGGACGTTGACGTGGACGTGGACGTGGACGTGGACGTGGACGTGGACGTGGACGTGGACATGGACGTGGACGTGGACGTGGACGTGGACGTGGACGTGGACATGGACGTGGACGTGGACGTGGACGTGGACGTGGACGTGGACGTGGACATGGACGTTGACGGGGACGTGGAGGTGGACGTGGACGTGGATGGGGACGTGGACGTGGACGTGGTCGTGGACATGGACGTGGATATGGACGTGGAGGACTTGGACGTGGACCTGGACGTGGACGTTGATTTGGACATGGACGTGGACGTGGATGTGGACGTGGACGTGGACATGGACATGGACGTGACATGGACGTGGACATGGACATGGACGTGGACATGTACGTGGACGTGGACGTGGAGGACTTGGACGTGGACATGGACGTGGACGTGGACGTGGACATGGACGTGGACGTGGATGTGGACGTGGACGTGGACGTGGACGTGGACATGGACGTGGACGTGGACATGGACGTGGACATGGACGTGGACGTGGACGTGGACGTGGACATGGACGTGGACATGGACGTGGACGTGGACATGGACGTGGACATGGACGTGGACGTGGACGTGGACGTGGACATGGACGTGGACGTGGACGTGGACGTGGACGAGGACATGGACGTGGACATGGACGTGGACATGGACGTGGACGTGGACATGGACGTTGACGTGGACTTGGACATGGACGTGGTCGTGGACGTGGACGTGGTCGTGGACATGGACGTGGACGTGGACGTGGACGTGGACGTGGACGTAGACGTAGACATGGACGTGGACGTGGACGTGGACGTAGACATGGACGTGGATGTGGACGTGGACGTGGACATGGACGTGGACGTGGACGTGGACGTGCACAGGGACGTGGACGTGGACGTGAACATGGACGCGGACGTGGACGTGGACATGGACGTGGACGTGGACGTGAACGTGGGCGTGGACGTGGACGTGGACGTAGATGTGGACGTGGACAAAGACGTGTACGTGGACATGGACATGGACATGGACGTGGACGTGGACATGGACGTGGACATGGACGTGGACGTGAACGTGGACGTGGACGTGGACGTGGAGGACTTGGACGTGGACATGGACGTGGACGTGGACGTGGACGTGGACGTGGACATGGACGTGGATGTGGACGTGGACATGGACGTGGACGTTGACATGGACGTGGATGTGGATGTGGTCGTGGACGTGGACGTAGACGTGGACTTGGACGTGGATGTGGACTTGGACGTGGACGTGGACGTGGTCGTGGTCGTAGATGTGGACGTTGACGTGGTGGACGTGGACGTTGAGGTGGACGTGGACGTGGACGTGGACATTGATGTGGTGGACGTGGACGTGGACGAGGACTTGGACGTGGACTTGGACGTGGACGTGGACGTGGACATGGACGTAGACGTGGATGTTGACGTGGTGGACGTGGACGTGGACGTGGTCGTGGACGTGGTCGTGGACGTGGACGTGGACGTGGTGGACGTGGACGTGGTCGTGGTCGTGGACGTGGACGTGGACGTGGTGGTGGACGTGGACGTGGACGTGGACGTGGATGTGGACGTGGACGTGGACGTGGTCGTGGACGTGGACATGGACGTGGTCGTGGACGTGGACGTGGACATGGACGTGGACGTGGACGTGGACGTGGACGTGGTCGTGGACGTGGACGTTGACGTGGACGTGGACGTGATTGTGGACGTGGAGGACTTGGACGTGGACATGGACGTGGACGTTGACGTGGACGTGGACGTGGACGTGGACATGGTCGTGGACGTGGACGAGGACGTGGACGTGGACGTGGACGTGTGGACGTGGACGTGGACGTGGACGTGGACATGGACGTGGACATGGACGTGGACATGGACGTGGACGTGGACGTGGACGTAAACATGGACGTGGACGTGGACGTGGACGTGGACGTGGACGTGGACATGGACGTGGACATGGACGTGGACATGGACGTGGACATGGACGTGGACATGGACGTGGACGTGGACAGGGACGTGGACATGGACGTGGACGTGGACATGGACGTGGACGTGGACGTGGACGTGGACGTGGACGTGGACGTGGACGTGGACATGGACGTGGACGTGGACGTGGACATGGACGTGGACGTGGACGTAGACATGGACGTGGACATGGACGTGGACGTGGACGTGGACGTGGACGTGGACGTGGACGTGGACGTGGACGTGGACGTGCACATGGACGTGGACGTGGACGTGGTCGTGGACGTGAACGTAGACGTGGTCGTGGACGTGGACGTGGACCGTGGTCGTGGACGTGGACGTGGACGTGGTCGTGGACGTGGACGTGGACGTGGACCGTGGACATGGACGTGGACGTGGACGTGGACGTGGACGTGGACATGGACGTGGACATGGACGTGGACGTGGTCGTGGACGTGGACGTGGACGTGGACGTGGTCGTGGACGTGGACGTGGACGTGGTCGTGGACGTGGACGTGGACGTGGTCGTGGACGTGGTCGTGGACCTGGTCGTGGACATGGACGTGGACGTGGACATGGACGTGGACGTGGACGTGGACGTGGACGTGGACGTGGACGTGGACGTGGACGTGGACATGGACGTGGACGTGGACGTGGACGTGGACGTGGACTTGGACGTGGACGTGGACTTGTACGTGGACTTGGACGTGGACGTGGACGTGGACACGGACGTAGACGTGGACGTTGACGTGGTGGACGTGGACGTGGACATGGACGTGGACATGGACGTGGACGTGGACGTGGACGTGGACATGGATGTAGACGTGGACGTGGACGTGGACGTGGACGCTGACGTGGACGTGGACATGGTCGTGGACGTGGTCGTGGACGTGGACGTGGTCGTGGACGTGGACGTGGACGTGGTCGTGGACGTGGACGTGGACCTGGACGTGGACGTGGACGTGGACATGGTCGTGGACGTGGACGTGGACGTGGTCATGGACGTGGTCATGGACGTGGATGTGGACGTGGACGTGGACGTGGACGTGGACGTGGACGTGGACGTGGACGTGGACGTGGACATGGACGTGGACGTGGACGTGGACGTGGACGTGGACATGGACGTGGACGTGGACGTGGACGTGGACGTGGACGTGGACATGGTCGTGGACGTGGACGTGGACGTGGACGTGGACGTGGACGTGGACGTGGACGTGGTCGTGGACGTGGACGTGGACGTGGACATGGACGTGGACGTGGACGTGGACGTAGACGTGGACGTGGACATGGACGTGGACGTGGACGTGGACGTGGACCTGGACGTGGACGTGGACATGGACGTGGACGTGGACGTGGACATGGACATGGACGTGGACGTGGACGTGGACGTAGACATGGACGTGGACGTGGACATGGACGTGGACGTGGACGTGGACATGGACATGGACGTGGACGTGGACGTGGACGTGGACGTGGACGTGGACGTGGACGTGGACATGGACGTGGACATGGACGTGGACATGGACGTGGACATGGACGTGGACATGGACGTGGACGTGGACAGGGACGTGGACATGGACGTGGACGTGGACATGGACGTGGACGTGGACGTGGACGTGGACGTGGACGTGGACGTGGACGTGGACATGGACGTGGACGTGGACGTGGACATGGACGTGGACGTGGACGTAGACATGGACGTGGACATGGACGTGGACGTGGACGTGGACGTGGACGTGGACGTGGACGTGGTCGTGGACGTGAACGTAGACGTGGTCGTGGACGTGGACGTGGACGTGGTCGTGGACGTGGACGTGGACGTGGTCGTGGACGTGGACGTGGACGTGGTCGTGGACGTGGACGTGGACGTGGACGTGGACGTGGACGTGGACGTGGACATGGACGTGGACGTGGTCGTGGACGTGGACGTGGTCGTGGACGTGGACGTGGACGTGGTCGTGGACGTGGACGTGGACGTGGTCGTGGACGTGGTCGTGGACGTGGTCGTGGACGTGGACGTGGACGTGGACGTGGACGTGGACGTGGACGTGGACGTGGACGTCGACGTCGACTTGGACGTGGACGTGGACGTGGACATGGACGTGGACGTGGACGTGGACGTGGACGTGGACGTGGACGTGGACGTGGACTTGGACGTGGACGTGGACTTGGACGTGGACTTGGACGTGGACGTGGACGTGGACACGGACGTAGACGTGGACGTTGACGTGGTGGACGTGGACGTGGACATGGACGTGGACATGGACGTGGACGTGGACGTGGACGTGGACATGGATGTAGACGTGGACGTGGACGTGGACGCTGACGTGGACGTGGACCTGGTCGTGGACCGTGGTCGTACGTGGACGTGGACGTGGACGTGGTCGTGGACGTGGACGTGGACGTGGACGTGGTCGTGGACGTGGACGTGGACGTGGACGTGGACGTGGTCGTGGACGTGGACGTGGATGTGGACGTGGACGTGGACGTGGACGTGGACGTGGACGTGGACGTGGACGTGGACGTGGACGTGGACGTGGACGTGGACGTGGACGTGGACGTGGACGTGGACATGGACGTGGACGTGGACGTGGACGTGGACGTGGACGTGGACATGGTCGTGGACGTGGACGTGGACGTGGACGTGGACGTGGACGTGGACGTGGACGTGGTCGTGGACGTGGACGTGGACGTGGACGTGGACATGCACATGGACGTGGACGTAGACGTGGACGTGGACGTAGACGTGGACGTGGACATGGACGTGGACGTGGACGTGGACGTGGACCAAGACGTGGACGTGGACATGGACGTGGACGTGGACGTGGACATGGACATGGACGTGGACGTGGACGTGGACGTGGACGTAGACATGGACGTGGACGTGGACATGGACGTGGACGTGGACGTGGACATGGACATGGACGTGGACGTGGACGTGGACGTGGACGTGGACGTGGACGTGGACATGGACATGGACGTGGACATGGACGTGGACATGGACGTGGACATGGACGTGGACATGGACGTGGACGTGGACATGGACGTGGACGTGGACGTGGACGTGGACGTGGACGTGGACATGGACGTGGACGTGGACGTGGACGTGGACGTGGACGTGGACGTGGACGTGGACGTGGACGTGGACGTGGATGTGGACGTGGACATGGACGTGGACGTGGACGTGGACATGGACGTGGACGTGGACGTAGACATGGATGTGGACCTGGACGTGGACGTGGACGTGGACATGGACGTGGACGTGGACGTGGACGTGGACATGGACGTGCACGTGGACGTGGACGTGGTCGTGGAAGTGAACGTAGACGTGGTCGTGGACGTGGACGTGGACGTGGTCGTGGACGTGGACGTGGACGTGGACGTGGCGTGGACGTGGACGTGGACGTGGACGTGGACGTGGACGTGGACGTGGACGTGGACGTGGACACGCGGACATGGACGCGGACGTGGACGCGGACGTGGACGTGGACGTGGACGTGGACGTGGACGTGGACGTGGTCGTGGACATGGACGTGGACGTGGTGGTGGACGTGGACGTGGACGTGGTCGTGGACGTGGACGTGGACGTGGACGTGGTCGTGGACGTGGTCGTGGACATGGACGTGGACGTGGACGTGGACATGGACGTGGACGTGGACGTGGACGTCGACTTGGACGTGGACGTGGACGTGGACATGGACGTGGACGTGGACGTGGACGTGGACGTGGACTTGGACGTGGACGTGGACTTGGACGTGGACTTGGACGTGGACGTGGACGTGGACACGGACGTAGACGTGGACGTTGATGTGGTGGACGTGGACGTGGACGTGGACGTGGACATGGACGTGGACGTGGACGTGGACGTGGACGTGGACATGGATGTAGACGTGGACGTGGACGTTGACGTGGACGTGGACATGGTCGTGGACGTGGTCGTGGACGTGGACGTGGACATGGTCGTGGACGTGGACGTGGACGTGGACGTGGACATGGTCGTGGACGTGGACGTGGACGTGGACGTGGACGTGGACATGGTCGTGGACGTGGACGTGGACGTGGTCGTTGACGTGGACGTGGACGTGGACGTGGACATGCACATGGACGTGGACGTGGACGTGGACGTGGTCGTGGACGTGGACATGGACGTGGACGTGGACGTGGACGTGGACGTGGACGTGGACATGGACGTTGACGTGGACGTGGACGTGGACGTGGACGTGGACGTGGACGTGGACGTGGTCGTGGACGTGGACGTGGACGTGGACATGGACGTGGACGTGGACGTGGACATGGACGTGGACGTGGACGTGGACGTGGACGTGGTCGTGGACGTGGACGTGGACGTGGTCGTGGACGTGGACGTGGACGTGGTCGTGGACGTGGACGTGGACGTGGTCGTGGACGTGGACTTGGACGTGGTCGTGGACGTGGTGGTGGACGTGGTCGTGGACATGGACGTGGACGTGGACGTGGACATGGTCGTGGACGTGGACGTGGACGTGGACGTGGACATGGACGTGGACGTGGACGTGGACATGGACGTGGACGTGGACGTGGACGTGGACATGGACGTGGACGTGGACGTGGACGTGGACAGGGACGTGGACGTCGACGTGGACGTGGACGTGGACGTGGACGTGGTCGTGGACGTGGACATGGTCGTGGTCGTGGACGTGGACGTGGACGTGGTCGTGGACGTGGACGTGGACGTGGTCGTGGACGTGGACGTGGACGTGGTCGTGGACGTGGACTTGGACGTGGTCGTGGACGAGGTCGTGGACGTGGTCGTGGACGTGGACGTGGACGTGGACGTGGTCGTGGTCGTGGACGTGGACGTGGACGTGGTCGTGGACGTGGTCGTGGTCGTGGTCGTGGACGTGGACTTGGACGTGGTCGTGGACGTGGTCGTGGACGTGGTCGTGGACATGGTCGTGGACGTGGACGTGGACGTGGACGTGGACGTGGACGTGGACATGGACGTGGACGTGGACATGGACGTGGACGTGGACGTGGACGTGGACGTGGACGTGGACGTGGACGTGGACGTGGACGTGGACAGGGACGTGGACGTGGACGTGGACGTGGACGTGGACGTGGACGTGGACATGGACGTGGACGTGGACATGGACGTGGACATGGACGTGGACGTGGACGTGGACATGGTCGTGTACGTGGACGTGGACGTGGACGTGGACGTGGACGTGGACATGTACGTGGACGTGGACGTGGACGTGGGCGTGGACGTGGACGTGGACGTGGACGTGGACGTGGACGTGGACGTGGACATGGACATGGACGTGGACGTGGACGTGGACGTGGACATGGACGTGGACATGGACGTGGACATAGACGTGGACGTGGACACGTGGACGTGGACATGGACGTGGACGTGGACATGGACGTGGACGTGGACATGGACGTGGACGTGGACGTGGACGTGGACGTGGACGTGGACGTGGACGTGGACGTGGACGTGGACGTGGACATGGACGTGGACGTGGACGTGGACGTGGACATGGACGTGGACGTGGACGTGGACGTAGACATGGACGTGGACGTGGATATGGACGTGGACGTGGACATGGACGTGGACGTGGAGGTGGACGTGGACGTGGACATGGACGTGGACGTGGACGTGGACGTGGACATGGACGTGCACGTGGACGTGGACGTGGTCGTGGACGTGAACGTAGACGTGGTCGTGGACGTGGACGTGGACGTGGTCGTGGACGTGGACGTGGACGCGGACGTGGACGTGGACGTGGACGCGGACATGGACGTGGACGTGGACGGGGACGTGGTCGTGGACATGGACGTGGACGTGGTCGTGGACGTGGACGTGGACGTGGACGTGGACATGGTCGTGGACGTGGACGTGGACGTGGACGTGGACATGGTCGTGGACGTGGACGTGGACGTGGACGTGGACGTGGACATGGTCGTGGACGTGGACGTGGACGTGGTCGTTGACGTGGACGTGGACGTGGACGTGGACATGCACATGGACGTGGACGTGGACGTGGACGTGGTCGTGGACGTGGACATGGACGTGGACGTGGACGTGGACGTGGACGTGGACGTGGACATGGACGTTGACGTGGACGTGGACGTGGACGTGGACGTGGACGTGGACGTGGACGTGGTCGTGGACGTGGACATGGACGTGGACGTGGACGTGGACATGGACGTGGACGTGGACGTGGACGTGGACGTGGTCGTGGACGTGGACGTGGACGTGGTCGTGGACGTGGACGTGGACGTGGTCGTGGACGTGGACGTGGACGTGGTCGTGGACGTGGACTTGGACGTGGTCGTGGACGTGGTCGTGGTCGTGGACATGGACGTGGACGTGGACGTGGTTGTGGACGTGGTCGTGGACGTGGACGTGGACGTGGACGTGGACATGGACGTGGACGTGGACGTGGACATGGACGTGGACGTGGACGTGGACGTGGACATGGACGTGGACGTGGACGTGGACGTGGACGTGGACATGGACGTCGACGTGGACGTGGACGTGGACGTGGACGTGGTCGTGGACGTGGACATGGTCGTGGTCGTGGACGTGGTCGTGGACGTGGACATGGACGTGGTCGTGGACGTGGTCGTGGACGTGGACGTGGACGTGGTCGTGGACGTGGACTTGGACGTGGTCGTGGACGAGGTCGTGGACGTGGTCGTGGACGTGGACGTGGACGTGGACGTGGTCGTGGTCGTGGACGTGGACGTGGACGTGGTCGTGGACGTGGTCGTGGTCGTGGTCGTGGACGTGGACTTGGACGTGGTCGTGGACGTGGTCGTGGACGTGGTCGTGGACATGGTCGTGGACGTGGACGTGGACGTGGACGTGGACGTGGACGTGGACATGGACGTGGACGTGGACATGGACGTGGACGTGGACGTGGACGTGGACGTGGACGTGGACGTGGACGTGGACGTGGACGTGGACAGGGACGTGGACGTGGACGTGGACGTGGACGTGGACGTGGACATGGACGTGGACGTGGACATGGACGTGGACATGGACGTGGACGTGGACGTGGACATGGTCGTGTACGTGGACGTGGACGTGGACGTGGACGTGGACGTGGACATGTACGTGGACGTGGACGTGGACGTGGGCGTGGACGTGGACGTGGACGTGGACGTGGACGTGGACGTGGACGTGGACATGGACATGGACGTGGACGTGGACGTGGACGTGGACGTGGACATGGACGTGGACATGGACGTGGACATAGACGTGGACGTGGACATGGACGTGGACATGGACGTGGACGTGGACATGGACGTGGACGTGGACATGGACGTGGACGTGGACGTGGACGTGGACGTGGACGTGGACGTGGACGTGGACGTGGACGTGGACGTGGACGTGGACATGGACGTGGACGTGGACGTGGACGTGGACATGGACGTGGACGTGGACGTGGACGTAGACATGGACGTGGACGTGGATATGGACGTGGACGTGGACATGGACGTGGACGTGGAGGTGGACGTGGACGTGGACATGGACGTGGACGTGGACGTGGACGTGGACATGGACGTGCACGTGGACGTGGACGTGGTCGTGGACGTGAACGTAGACGTGGTCGTGGACGTGGACGTGGACGTGGTCGTGGACGTGGACGTGGACGCGGACGTGGACGTGGACGTGGACGCGGACATGGACGTGGACGTGGACGGGGACGTGGTCGTGGACATGGACGTGGACATGGTCGTGGACGTGGACGTGGACGTGGTCGTGGACGTGGACGTGGACGTGGTCGTGGACGTGGTCGTGGACGTGGTCGTGGATATGGACGTGGACGTGGACGTGGACATGGATGTAGACGTGGACGTGGACGTCGAGTTGGACGTGGACGTGGACGTGGACGTGGACGTGGACGTGGACTTGGACGTGGACGTGGACTTGGACGTGGACGTGGACGTGGACGTGGACGTGGACATGGTCGTGGACGTGGACGTGGACGTGGACATGGACGTGGACGTGGACGTGGACATGGACGTGGACGTGGACGTGGACGTGGACGTGGTCGTGGACATGGACGTGGACGTGGTCGTGGACGTGGACGTGGACGTGGTCGTGGACGTGGACGTGGACGTGGTCGTGGACGTGGACTTGGACGTGGTCGTGGACGTGGTCGTGGACGTGGTCGTGGACGTGGACGTGGACGTGGACGTGGTCGTGGTCGTGGACGTGGACGTGGACGTGGTCGTGGACGTGGTCGTGGTCGTGGTCGTGGACGTGGACTTGGACGTGGTCGTGGACGTGGTCGTGGACGTGGTCGTGGACATGGACGTGGACGTGGACGTGGACGTGGACGTGGACGTGGACATGGACGTGGACGTGGACGTGGACGTGGACGTGGACGTGGACGTGGACGTGGACGTGGACGTGGACAGGGACGTGGACGTGGACGTGGACGTGGACGTGGACGTGGACGTGGACGTGGACATGGACGTGGACGTGGACGTGGACATGGACATGGACATGGTCGTGGACGTGGACGTGGACATGGTCGTGTACGTGGACGTGGACGTGGACGTGGACGTGGACGTGGACGTGGACGTGGACAGGTACGTGGACGTGGACGTGGACGTGGGCGTGGACGTGGACGTGGACGTGGACGTGGACGTGGACGTGGACGTGGACGTGGACATGGACATGGACGTGGACGTGGACGTGGACGTAAACATGGACGTGGACGTGGACGTGGACGTGGACGTGGACATGGACATGGACGTGGACATGGACGTGGACATGGACGTGGACATGGACGTGGACATGGACGTGGACGTGGACATGGACGTGGACATGGACGTGGACGTGGACATGGACGTGGACATGGACGTGGACGTGGACGTGGACGTGGACGTGGACGTGGACGTGGACGTGGACGTGGACGTGGACATGGACGTGGACGTGGACGTGGACATGGACGTGGACGTGGACGTGGACGTAGACATGGACGTGGACGTGGACGTGGACGTGGACGTGGAGGTGGTCGTGGACGTGGACGTGGACGTGGACGTGGACATGGACGTGGACGTGGACGTGGACGTGGACGTGGACGTGGACGTGGCCGTGGACGTGGACATGGACGTGGACGTGGACATGGACGTGGACGTGGACGTGGACGTAGACATGGACGTGGACATGGACGTGGACGTGGACATGGACGTGGACATGGACATGGACATGGACATGGACGTGGACATGGACGTGGACATGGACATGGACGTGGACATGGACGTGGACGTGGACGTGGACGTGGACGTGGACATGGACGTGGACATGGACATGGACGTGGACATGGGACATGGACGTGGACAGTGGACGTGGACGTGGACGTGGACGTGGACGTGGGACATGGACGTGGACATGGACATGGACATGGACGTGGACGTGGACATGGACGTGGACATGGACGTGGACGTGGACGTGGACGTGGACATGGACGTGGACATGGACATGGACATGGACGTGGACGTGGACATGGACATGGACATGGACATGGACATGGACGTGGACGTGGATGTGGACGTGGACGTGGACATGGACGTGGACATGGACATGGACGTGGACATGGACGTGGACATGGACGTGGACATGGACGTGGACGTGGACGTGGACGTGGACGTGGACGTGGACGTGGACGTGGACATGGACGTGGACGTGGACGTGGACATGGACGTGGACGTGGACGTGGACGTAGACATGGACGTGGACGTGGACGTGGACGTGGACGTGGACATGGACGTGGACGTGGACGTGGTCATGGACGTGGACATGGACGTGGACGTGGATTGGACGTGGACATGGACGGGACGTGGACGTGGACGTGGACGTGGACGTGGACATGGACGTGGACGTGGACGTGGACGTGGACGTGGACGTGGACATGGACGTGGACGTGGACATGGACGTGGACGTGGACATGGACGTGGACGTGGTCGTGGACGTGGTCGTGGACGTGGTCGTGGACATGGACGTGGACGTGGACGTGGACATGGTCGTGGACGTGGACGTGGACGTGGACGTGGACATGGACGTGGACGTGGACGTGGACGTGGACATGGACGTGGACGTGGACGTGGACGTGGACATGGACGTGGACGTGGACGTGGACGTGGACGTGGACGTGGACAGGGACGTGGACGTCGACGTAGACGTGGACGTGGACGTGGACGTGGTCGTGGACGTGGACGTGGACGTGGACGTGGACGTGGACGTGGACGTGGACGTGGACATGGACGTGGACAGGGACGTGGACGTGGACGTGGACGTGGACGTGGACGTGGACGTGGACGTGGACATGGACGTGGACGTGGTCGTGGTCGTGGACATGGACGTGGACGTGGACGTGGACGTGGACGTGGACGTGGACAGGGACGTGGACGTGGACGTAGACGTGGACGTGGACGTGGTCGTGGACGTGGACGTGGACGTGGACGTGGACGTGGACGTGGACGTGGACGTGGACGTGGACGTGGACATGGACGTGGACGTGGACGTGGACGTGGACGTGGACGTGGACGTGGACGTGGACGTGGTCGTGGACAGGGACGTGGACGTGGACGTGGACGTGGACGTGGACGTGGACGTGGTCGTGGTCGTGGACGTGGACGTGGACGTGGTCGTGGACGTGGTCGTGGACGTGGACGTGGTCGGGGACGTGGACTTGGACGTGGTCGTGGACGTGGTCGTGGACGTGGTCGTGGACGTGGACGTGGACGTGGACGTGGTCGTGGTCGTGGACGTGGACGTGGACGTGGTCGTGGACGTGGTCGTGGTCGTGGTCGTGGACGTGGACTTGGACGTGGTCGTGGACGTGGTCGTGGACGTGGTCGTGGACATGGACGTGGACGTGGACGTGGACATGGTCGTGGACGTGGACGTGGACGTGGACGTGGACGTGGACATGGACGTGGACGTGGACGTGGACATGGACGTGGACGTGGACGTGGACGTGGACATGGACGTGGACGTGGACGTGGACGTGGACGTGGACGTGGACAGGGACGTGGACGTGGACGTGGACGTGGACGTGGACGTGGACATGGACGTGGACGTGGACGTGGACATGGACGTGGACATGGACGTGGACGTGGACGTGGACATGGTCGTGTACGTGGACGTGGACGTGGACGTGGACGTGGACGTGGACATGTACGTGGACGTGGACGTGGACGTGGGCGTGGACGTGGACGTGGACGTGGACGTAGACGTGGACGTGGACGTGGACGTGGACATGGACATGGACGTGGACGTGGACGTGGACGTAAACATGGACGTGGACGTGGACGTGGACGTGGACGTGGACATGGACATGCACGTGGACATGGACGTGGACATGGACGTGGACATGGACGTGGACATGGACGTGGACGTGGACATGGACGTGGACATGGACGTGGACGTGGACATGGACGTGGACGTGGACGTGGACGTGGACGTGGACGTGGACGTGGACGTGGACGTGGACGTGGACGTGGACGTGGACTTGGACGTGGACGTGGACGTGGACATGGACGTGGACATGGACGTGGACATGGACGTGGACGTGGACGTGGACGTAGACATGGACATGGACGTGGACGTGGACGTGGACGTGGACATGGACGTGGACGTGGAGGTGGACGTGGACGTGGACATGGACGTGGACGTGGACGTGGACGTGGACATGGACGTGCACGTGGACGTGGACGTGGACGTGGACGTGGTCGTGGACGTGGTCGTGGACGTGGTCGTGGACATGGACGTGGACGTGGACGTGGACATGGACGTGGACGTGGACGTGGACGTGGACGTCGACTTGGACGTGGACGTGGACGTGGACGTGGACGTGGACTTGGACGTGGACGTGGACTTGGACGTGGACACGGACGTGGACGTGGACGTGGACACGGACGTAGACGTGGACGTTGACGTGGTGGACGTGGACGTGGACGTGGATGTAGACGTGGACGTGGACGTTGACGTGGACGTGGACATGGTCGTGGACGTGGTCGTGGACGTGGACGTGGACATGGTCGTGGACGTGGTCGTGGACGTTGACGTGGACATGGTCGTGGACGTGGACGTGGACGTGGACGTGGACATGGTCGTGGACGTGGACGTGGACGTGGACGTGGACGTGGACATGGTCGTGGACGTGGACGTGGACGTGGTCGTGGACGTGGACGTGGACGTGGACGTGGACATGCACATGGACGTGGACGTGGACGTGGACGTGGACGTGGACGTGGACGTGGACGTGGACATGGACGTGGACGTGGACGTGGACGTGGACGTGGACATGGACGTTGACGTGGACGTGGACGTGGACGTGGACATGGACATGGACGTGGACGTGGACGTGGACGTGGACGTGTACATGGTCGTGGACGTGGACGTGGACATGGACATGGACGTGGACGTGGACGTGGACGTGGACGTGGACGTGGACGTGGACCTTGACGTGGTCGTGGACGTGGACGTGGACGTGGTCGTGGACGTGGACGTGGACGTGGTCGTGGACGTGGACGTGGTCGTGGACGTGGACTTGGACGTGGTCGTGGACGTGGACGTGGACGTGGACGTGGACGTGGACATGGACGTGGACGTGGACGTGGACGTGGACATGGACGTGGACGTGGACGTGGACGTGGACGTGGACGTGGACGTGGACGTGGACGTGGACGTGGACGTGGACGTGGACGTGGACGTCGACGTGGACGTGGACGTCGAGGTGGACGTGGACGTGGACGTGGTCGTGGACGTGGACGTGGTCGTGGTCGTGGACGTGGACGTGGACGTGGTCGTGGACGTGGTCGTGGACGTGGTCGTGGACGTGGTCGTGGACGTGGTCGTGGACATGAACGTGGACGTGGACGTGGACATGGTCGTGGACGTGGACGTGGACGTGGACGTGGACATGGACGTGGACGTGGACGTGGACGTGGACAGGGACGTGGACGTGGACGTGGACGTGGACGTGGACATGGACGTGGACGTGGACGTGGACAGGGACGTGGACAGGGACGTGGACGTGGACGTGGACATGGACGTGGACATGGACGTGGACGTGGACGTTGACAGGGACGTGGACGTGGACGTGGACGTGGACGTGGACGTGGACATGGACGTGGACGTGGACGTGGACATGGACGTGGACATGGACGTGGACGTGGACGTGGACATGGTCGTGGACGTGGACGTGGACGTGGACGTGGACGTGGACGTGGACGTGGACGTGGACATGTACGTGGACATGGACGTGGACGTGGGCGTGGACATGGACGTGGACGTGGACGTGGACGTGGACGTGGACGTGGACATGGACATGGACATGGACGTGGACGTGGACGTGGACGTAAACATGGACGTGGACGTGGACATGGACGTGGACGTGGACGTCGACTTGGACGTGGACGTGGACGTGGACATGGACGTGGACGTGGACGTGGACATGGACGTGGACGTGGACGTAGACATGGACGTGGACGTGGACGTGGACGTGGACGTGGTCGTGGACGTGAACGTAGACGTGGTCGTGGACGTGGACGTGGACGTGGTCGTGGACGTGGACGTGGACGTGGTCGTGGACGTGGACGTGGACGTGGACGTGGACGTGGACGTGGACATGGACGTGGACGTGGACATGGACGTGGACGTGGACGTGGACGTGGACGCGAACATGGACGTGGACGTGGACGTGGACGTGGACGTGGTCGTGGACCTGGACGTGGACGTGGTCGTGGACGTGGACGTGGACGTGGTCGTGGACGTGGACGTGGACGTGGTCGTGGACATGGACGTGGACGTGGACGTGGACGTGGACGTCGACTTGAACGTGGACGTGGACGTGGACATGGACGTGGACGTGGACGTGGACGTGGACGAGGACTTGGACGTGGACGTGGACACGGACGTAGACGTGGACGTTCACGTGGTGGACGTGGACGTGGACGTGGACACTTGGACGTGGACGAGGACGTGGACACGGACGTAGACGTGGACGTTGACGTGGTGGACGTGGACGTGGACGTGGACGTGGACATGGACGTGGACGTGGACGAGGACGTGGACGTGGACATGGATGTAGACGTGGACGTGGACGTTGACGTGGACGTGGACATGGTCGTGGACGTGGTCGTGGACGTGGACGTGGACATGGTCGTGGACGTGGACGTGGACGTGGACGTGGACATGGTCGTGGACGTGGACGTGGACGTGGACCTGGACGTGGACGTGGTCGTGGACGTGGACGTGGTCGTGGACGTGGTCGTGGACGTGGTCGTGGACATGGACGTGGACGTGGACGTGGACATGGACGTGGACGTGGACGTGGACGTGGACGTCGACTTGAACGTGGACGTCGACGTGGACATGGACGTGGACGTGGACGTGGACGTGGACGAGGACTTGGACGTGGACGTGGACACGGACGTAGACGTGGACGTTGACGTGGTGGACGTGGACGTGGACGTGGACACTTGGACGTGGACGAGGACGTGGACACGGACGTAGACGTGGACGTTGACGTGGTGGACGTGGACGTGGACGTGGACGTGGACATGGACGTGGACGTGGACGAGGACGTGGACGTGGACATGGATGTAGACGTGGACGTGGACGTTGACGTGGACGTGGACATGGTCGTGGACGTGGTCGTGGACGTGGACGTGGACATGGTCGTGGACGTGGACGTGGACGTGGACGTGGACATGGTCGTGGACGTGGACGTGGACGTGGACCTGGACGTGGACGTGGTCGTGGACGTGGACGTGGACGTGGTCGTGGACGTGGTCGTGGACGTGGTCGTGGACATGGACGTGGACGTGGACGTGGACATGGACATGGACGTGGACGTGGACGTGGACGTCGACTTGAACGTGGACGTGGACGTGGACATGGACGTGGACGTGGACGTGGACGTGGACGAGGACTTGGACGTGGACGTGGACACGGACGTAGACGTGGACGTTGACGTGGTGGACGTGGACGTGGACGTGGACACTTGGACGTGGACGAGGACGTGGACACGGACGTAGACGTGGACGTTGACGTGGTGGACGTGGACGTGGACGTGGACGTGGACATGGACGTGGACGTGGACGAGGACGTGGACGTGGACATGGATGTAGACGTGGACGTGGACGTTGACGTGGACGTGGACATGGTCGTGGACGTGGTCGTGGACGTGGACGTGGACATGGTCGTGGACGTGGACGTGGACGTGGACGTGGACATGGTCGTGGACGTGGACGTGGACGTGGACATGGTCGTGGACGTGAACGTGGACGTGGTCGTGGACGTGGACGTGGACGTGGACGTGGACATGCACATGGACGTGGACGTTGACGTGGACGTGGACGTGGACGTGGACGTGGACGTGGACGTGGACGTTGACGTGGACGTGGACGTGGACGTGGACGTGGACGTGGACGTGGACGTGGACGTGGACGTGGTCGTGGACGTGGACGTGGACGTGGACGTGGACGTGGACGTGGACGTGGACGTGGACGTGGACGTGGACGTGGACGTGGACGTGGACGTGGACGTGGACGTGGACGTGGACATGGACGTGGACGTGGACGTGGACGTGGACGTGGACGTGGACGTGGACGTGGTCGTGGACGTGGACGTGGACGTGGACGTGGACGAGGTCGTGGACGTGGACGTGGACGTGGTCGTGGACGTGGACTTGGACGTGGTCGTGGACGTGGTCGTGGACGTGGTCGTGGACCTGGACGTGGACGTGGACGTGGACATGGTCGTGGACGTGGACGTGGACGTGGACGTGGACGTGGACATGGACGTGGACGTGGACGTGGACGTGGACGTGGACGTGGACGTGGACGTGGACTGGACGTGGACGTGGACGTGGACGTGGACGTGGACAGGGACGTGGACAGGGACGTGGACGTGGACGTGGACGTGGACGTGGACGTAGACGTAGACGTGGACGTGGACGTGGACGTGGACGTGGACGTGGACGTGGACGTGGACATGGACGTGGACGTGGACATGGACGTGGACGTGGACGTGGACGTGGACGTGGACGTGGACGTGGACGTGGACGTGGACGTGGACGTGGACATGTACGTGGACGTGGACGTGGACGTGGGCGTGGACGTGGACGTGGACGTAGACGTGGACGTGGACGTGGACGTGGACGTGGACGTGGACATGGACATGGGCGTGGACGTGGACGTGGACGTGGACATGGTCGTGGACGTGGACGTCGACGTCGACGTGGACGTGGACGTGGACATGGACGTGGACATGGACGTGGACGTGGACGTGGACATGGACGTGGACATGGACGTGGACGTGGACGTGGACATGGACCGTGGACATGGATGTGGACGTGGACGTGGACATGGACGTGGACATGGACGTGAACGTGGACATGGACGTGGACATGGACGTGGACGTGGACATGGACGTGGACATGGACGTGGACGTGGACATGGACATGGACGTGGACATGGACGTGGACGTGGACATGGACTTTGACATGGACGTGGACATGGACGTGGACATTGACATGGACGTGGACATGGACGTGGACGTGGACATGGACGTGGACATGGACGTGGACGTGGACGTAGATGGACGTGGACATGGACGTGGACGTGGACGTAGATGGACGTGGACGTGGACGTGGACATGGACGTGGACGTGGACGTGGACGTGGACGTGGACGTGGACGTGGACGTGGACGTGGACGTGGACGTGGACGTGGACGTGGACGTGGACTTGGACGTGGACGTGGACGTGGACGTGGACTTGGACGTGGACATGGACGTGGACGTGGACGTGGACGTGGACGTGGACATGAACGTGGACGTGGACATGGACATGGACAGGAACGTGGACGTGGACGTGGACATGGACGTGGACGTGGACGTAGACGGTCGTGGACGTGGACATGGACGTGGACATGGACGTGGACGTGGACGTGGACATGGACATGGACGTGGACGTGGACGTGGACGTGGACATGGACGTGGACGTGGACATGGACATGGACGTGGACGTGGACATGGACGTGGACATGGACGTGGACATGGACATGGACATGGACGTGGACATGGACGTGGACATGGACGTGGACGTGGACGTGGACGTGGACATGGACGTGGACATGGACGTGGACGTGGACATGGACATGGACGTGGGCATGGACATGGACGTGGACATGGACGTGGACATGGACGTGGACATGGACGTGGACATGGACGTGGACGTGGACATGGACATGGACGTGGACATGGACGTGGACGTGGACGTGGACGTGGACATGGACGCGGACGTGGACGTGGACGTGGCCATGGACGTGGACATGGACGTGGACATGGACGTGGACGTGGACATGGACGTGGACATGGACGGGGACGTGGACGTAGATGGACGTGGACATGGACGTAGACGTGGACGTGGACGTGGACATGGACGTGGACATGGATGTGGAAGTTGACGTGGACTTGGACGTGGAAATGAACGTGGACGTGGACGTGCACGTGGACATGGACGTGGACATGGACGTGGACATGGACGTGGACATGGACGTGGACATGGACGTGGACATGGACATGGACGTGGACGTGGACGTGGACATGGACGTGGACGTGGACGTGGACGTGGACATGGGCGTGGACATGGACATGGACGTGGACGTGGACATGGACATGGACGTGGACATGGACATGGACGTGGACATGGACATGGACGTGGACATGGACATGGACGTGGACATGGACATGGACGTGGACGTGGACGTGGACATGGACGTGGACGTGGACATGGATGTGGACGTGGACATGGACGTGGACGTGGACGTGGACGCGAACATGGACGTGGACGTGGACGTGGACGTGGACGTGGTCGTGGACCTGGACGTGGACGTGGTCGTGGACGTGGACGTGGACGTGGTCGTGGACGTGGACGTGGACGTGGTCGTGGACGTGGTCGTGGACGTGGTCGTGGACATGGACGTGGACGTGGACGTGGACATGGACGTGGACGTGGACGTGGACGTGGACGTCGACTTGGACGTGGACGTGGACGTGGACATGGACGTGGACGTGGACGTGGACGTGGACGAGGACTTGGACGTGGACGTGGACACGGACGTAGACGTGGACGTTGACGTGGTGGACGTGGACGTGGACACTTGGACGTGGACGAGGACGTGGACACGGACGTAGACGTGGACGTTGACGTGGTGGACGTGGACGTGGACGTGGACGTGGACATGGACGTGGACGTGGACGAGGACGTGGACGTGGACATGGATGTAGACGTGGACGTGGACGTTGACGTGGACGTGGACATGGTCGTGGACGGGACGTGGACGTGGACGTGGGACGTGGACATGGACATGGACGTGGACGTGGACGTGGACATGGTCGTGGACGTGGACGTGGACGTGGACGTGGTCGTGGACGTGAACGTGGACGTGGACGTGGACGTGGACGTGGACCTGCACCTGGACGTGGACGTGGACGTGGACGTGGACGTGGACGTGGACGTGGACGTGGACGTGGACGTGGACGTGGACGTGACGTGGACGTTGACGTGGACGTGGACGTGGACGTGGACGTGGACGTGGACGTGGACGTGGACGTGGACGTGGACGTGGACGTGGACGTGGACGTGGACGTGGACGTGGACGTGGACGTGGACGTGGACGTGGACGTGGACGTGGACGTGGACGTGGACGTGGACGTGGACGTGGACGTGGACGTGGACGTGGACGTGGACGTGGACGTGGACGTGGACGGGACGTGGACGTGGACGTGGACGTGGTCGTGGACGTGGACGTGGACGTGGTCGTGGACGTGGTCGTGGACGTGGACGTGGACGTGGACGTGGACTTGGACGTGGACTTGGACGTGGACTTGGACGTGGTCGTGGACGTGGACTTGGACGTGGTCGTGGACCTGGACGTGGACGTGGTCATGGACATGGTCGTGGACGTGGACGTGGACATGGTGGTGGACGTGGACGTGGACGTGGACGTGGACGTGGACGTGGACGTGGACGTGGACGTGGACGTGGACTTGGACGTGGACGTGGACTGGACGTGGACGTGGACGTGGACGTGGACGTGGACAGGGACGTGGACAGGGACGTGGACGTGGACGTGGACGTGGACGTGGACGTGGACGTGGACGTGGACGTGGACGTGGACATGGACGTGGACGTGGACGTGGACATGAGGGACGTGGACGTGGACGTGGACGTGGACGTGGACGTGGACGTGGACGTGTACGTGGACGTGGACGTGGACGTGGATGTGGACGTGGACGTGGACGTGGACATGGACATGGACAGGAACGTGGACGTGGACGTGGACATGGACATGGACAGGAACGTGGGCATGGACGTGGACGTGGACATGGACGTGGACGTGGACGTGGACGTGGACGTGGACGTGGACGTGGACATGGACGTGGACATGGACGTGGACGTGGACATGGACATGGACGTGGGCATGGACATGGACGTGGACATGGACGTGGACATGGACGTGGACATGGACGTGGACATGGACGTGGACGTGGACATGGACATGGACGTGGACATGGACGTGGACGTGGACGTGGACGTGGACATGGACGCGGACGTGGACGTGGACGTGGCCATGGACGTGGACATGGACGTGGACATGGACGTGGACGTGGACATGGACGTGGACATGGACGGGGACGTGGACGTAGATGGACGTGGACATGGACGTAGACGTGGACGTGGACGTGGACATGGACGTGGACATGGATGTGGACGTTGACGTGGACATGGACGTGGAAATGAACGTGGACGTGGACGTGGACGTGGACGTGGACATGGACGTGGACATGGACGTGGACATGGACGTGGACATGGACGTGGACATGGACATGGACGTGGACGTGGACGTGGATATGGACGTGGACGTGGACGTGGACATGGACGTGGACGTGGACATGGACGTGGACGTGGACGTGGACATGGACGTGGACGTGGACGTGGACGTGGACGTGGACATGGACGTGGACGTGGACGTGGACGTGGACGTGGACGTGGACGTGGACATGGACGTGGACGTGGACGTGGACGTGGACATGGACGTGGACGTGGACGTGGACGTGGACGTGGACGTGGACGTGGACGTGGACATGGACGTGGACGGGGACGTGGACGTGGACGTGGACGTGGACGTGGACGTGGACGTGGACGTGGACGTGGACATGGACGTGGACGTGGACGTGGAGGACTTGGACGTGGATATGGACGTGGACGTGGACGTGGACGTGGACGTGGACATGGACGTGGACGTGGACATGGACGTGGACGTGGACGTGGAGGACGTGGACGTGGACGTGGACGTGGACGTGGACGTGGACGTGGACGTGGACGTGGACGTGGACATGGACGTGGACATGGACGTGGACGTGGACATGGACGTGGACGTGGACGTGGACGTGGACATGGACGTGGACATGGACGTGGACGTGGACGTGGACGTGGACGTGGACGTGGACGTGGACGTGGACATGGACGTGGACGTGGACGTGGACATGGACGTGGTCGTGGACGTGGACGTGGTCGTGGACGTGGACGTGGACATGGACGTGGACGTGGACGTGGACGTGGACGTGGACGTGGACGTGGACGTGGACATGGACGTGGACGTGGACGTGGATGTGCACAGGGACGTGGACGTGGACGCGGACGTGGACGTGGACATGGACGTGGACGCGGACGTGGACGTGGACGTGGACGTGGACGTGGACGTAGACGTGGACGTGGACATGGACGTGGACGTGGACATGGACATGGACATGGACGTGGACAAGGACGTGGATGTGGACATGGACGTGGACGTGGACGTGGACGTGGACGTGGACATGGACGTGGACGTGGACGTGGAGGACTTGGACGAGGACGTGGACGCTGACGTGGACGTGGACGTGGACATGGACGTGGATGTGGACGTGGACGTGGACGTGGACGTTGACTTGGATGTGGTCGTGGACGTGGACGTGGACGTGGACTTGGACGTGGACTTGGACGTGGACGTGGACGTGGTCGTGGTCGTAGACGTGGACGTTGACGTGGTGGACGTGGACGTGGACGTTGACGTGGACGTGGTCGTGGACGTGGACATTGACGTGGTGGACGTGGACGTGGACGTGGACTTGGACGTGGACTTGGACGTGGACGTGGACGTGGACATGGACGTAGACGTGGACGTTGACGTGGTGGACGTGGACGTGGTCGTGGACGTTGACGTGGTCGTGGACGTGGACGTAGACGTGGTGGACGTGGACGTGGTCGTGGACGTGGACGTGGACGTGGTGGTGGACGTGGACGTGGACGTGGACGTGGACGCGGTCGTGGACGTGGACGTGGTCGTGGACGTGGACGTGGACGCGGTCGTGGACGTGGACGCAGTCGTGGACGTGGACGCGGTCGTGGACGTGGATGTGGACGTAGACATGGACGTTGATGTGGACGTGGACGCGGACGTAGACGTGGACGTGGACCTGGACGTGGTGGACGTGAACGTGGACGTGGACCTGGACTTGGACGTGGACATGGACGTTTAGCTCTTACGGCTCGCAGCAGCAGCAGCAGCCGTTCAGCCCTTACGGCCTGCAGCAGCAGCCTTTTTGGCAGTACGGACAGGGGGGGTCCTCTTTCGGCCCCTACCAGGGCTCCTTCTTCCAGGGTCCCTCGTACCTTCCCTTTTCTGGTGCACCTGCGCAGCAGCAGTTCTACCAGCAGCCTTTTTTGGGGCCTTCCTTCCAGCAGCAGCAGTTCCTTCCGGACTCTGTCTCTATGAGCGCTGTAAACTCTGGTGGTACCGTCTCTGCCTGGATGGCGTCCCTAATCTCCGCCACCCTGGAAAGTAGAGCAGGGTCCGTGGCAGCCCCAGCCCCTGCACCTGCTGCACCTGTGGCTGCTGCCCCGCCTCCAGAAGTGTCTGGGAAAAGACCACCAAAGACCTGCCGAAACAGCCTCGAGGTAAGAGTGTCTGTCTACTTTCCCCCGGCAGTAGCCTCACCCGCCGCACCAATGGCTGTCGGCTGCTGCTGCTGCTGCGGCTGCTACTGCTGAGATTGCTGCTGACCCTGCCGCTGCTGACCCTGCTGCTGCTAGGCCTGCTGCTGCCCCTGCTGCTGCTGCTGGCCCTGCTGCTGTGGCTCCTGCTACGACGACGGTAGCCCAAGCCGTGGTCGCTGCTGCCGCTGCTGTGCCAAGGTCTCAGCCTCCTGTCTCAGCTGCTCGCGAATGGAAGCTGCCTCCTGTGCCAACTGCTCCCTGTCACGAGAGATCATCCTAACCCAACTATCTATCACGGACCGGTCTCGCAGGATATCCCCCTCGATATTCCTGAGACGAAGCTGCTGCTGTATGCTGCGCTGCCACTCGGCCTGCTGCTCCAGCGCCAACTCTGTCTGTCTGTCCTCCTCGTCTCGCTCGGTCCGTCTACGAGTACGCCGAAACTGCTCAGTAATATCAGCGACAGTAGCTGGTGCACTAGTCTCCATAGCTGCAGCCGCTGATCCCCCCTGGTCTCCTGCACCGCCGACACCGGCTCCTCCCCCAGTGCCTGGCGCTGCAGAAACTCCGAGCCCACCCATGGTGACGTCTAAAAGACTAACGAAACGGAAAAAACTAGGAGTCTGTATCGTCTACGCCACTCTCCAACACCGGCGTCAGTGCAATAGGTTTAGGGTTTGATAGGAATGCTCAAAGAACTGAGCTGCAGTGCTGCTCCAGACAGTCTAGAGTCGCTAACGAAGAAAGTGGCTGTGACGGCCTATCGGTAGGACGAGAGACTAACGGCCTAGACTGGGAGAAGTCGAGGGGCACGAGTCTCTGAAAGTCTAGCCGATGGCACTACTCTAAGGGTAGGCTAGGGCCGCCAGGGGGCAACACGAGGCTCCCCAAGCGACAGGAAAAAACGACGACGAAAATGGCCTAGCGGAATGCAAGAAAACTGCAAAAACCCTCTAGCTAGGCAAGCAAACTGCTGAAAAAACACAAGTCCTAAGCCTAGGGGTGTAGGGACATGCAATAGAGTAAGTACCTCAAGTGTAGGTAGAAGCAGTCTCGTATCGATTTCGCCACGAAGGCATCATCAGCAAGACAAGGATCTACCCTAGCAAGAGCTCCCTACTTATAGCTGTCCCAACCCAATGTCCTAAAGTGCAATGTGGGCCTAACCTGCCACCTAGGCAAAGAACTGCCCTTGCAGGCTGCCAACTGTGTAGCCTACCAAGGGCCTACACCCAGCTGCCCATATCTCCCAATCCGGGCGCCAGATGGCGAATCCGACGGTTCCGGCAGCCTCCAGTCCGTACGGAGCTTATGGTCCGACATATAATGTACAGGGTAACCGTCGGGTCCGGGTGGCAAAAACCGGAACATGCGAACAGTCATGTTCGGGTGCCAGCCCGGCGCTCTCCAGATTCGCGCGAAACCAGAGAGCGTACCACTAAAACGCGCGTAACTCAGCGCTCGGTGCTCCATTCGGGGCGTGTGAAGGCTCGTCGCAGAGCCCTTCATCAGCCCTACACAGTGAGATGGAGACCTGCATGTACCTAACAAGCTAACCCCCGAAACTAGAAAGAGGCATAGTCACCCACTCGCGTGCTGTGCCCCCTGGTACTCATAAAGGTCGGGGGCGTGCCAAGTACATGTGCCATGTGTCATGGTACCCCAAATCCCATGGATCCCCACTAGGTGCAAGAGGAGAAAGGCACCCCTGTGCTCATATGGCCAGAGGTGGGGAAGGTACAATGCACATGCTACCAAAACCCAAGTCCCGTGCAAAGAGGAGAAAGGCATCCCAGTACTCATAACGGTCTGGGATGGGGAATGGTACAAGTGTGCAAGTGCGTAACCCACAAATACAATCCACAACGAACGCAGAGTGTAGTCGCAGGTACACTCACACTGCCCCAGGGCCTGACCTGTGTGGCTGAAATCAAAGAAGTCAGGCGGGAGGTTGTCGTGCATCCCTGGGTCCAGCCTCTGTGAGAAAACAAAGAGACTGGACCGGGGATGGTGCTGCTGCGACGGCCCAACCAAATGCAGCACGCCGCTGCGAAGTGCAGAAAGGTGCTCGCTCCAAGGCCCCACCCGTGTGCACGTGCCGTGAAACAAGGAGGAAGGGCGGGGAGGCGGCAGACGACTAACCGAGACGGCACGACACCCACAGAAGACAAGTGACGTGCTGTGAGAGAGGGGCACCCCAGTCACCTGAACGACGCTCGCACGAGTAGCTGTCGGAGCGACGGAGGTGCCCTGTAGGACACGAAAGGTGCCCTGTAGTGAGAAAGCTGCTCAAACGCTGGTGCCTCTGGAGGGAAGGCCAGCAACCTACCCCAGCGGACCTGCTGCACACTCGGGTGGAAGTCGAGAACAAGAGGGAGAACCCGCTGCTGCTCCTCCTGCTCCCCCTCCCCCCGAGCCCGTGACCTGGCAAGAAGCTCCGGGCGTCGTGCGTAGGAGATGCTGCTGAAGATCGGCTGCAAGAAAGTGTCTGGGTACCCCCGCGCCCGCAGCCGAGCGTAGAAGGCCAACCTGATACTCCTAAACCCCTGAGAACTGGACTCCCTCAGAATGTACCGCTGCAGCTCACCCAAGATGAAGCCCCTCTTGCAGTGAGAGGGGTGCGCGGAGGAGAAAGGAAAGTACTGGTACACGTTGAGCGGCTTCTGGAAGGTCGTGGTGTCCAAGATAGCCGTCGTCTGCCAGAGCTCTCCCTTGCTGAACGTGATATCCAGCAAGGTGAACTGTGAGGTGGAGATCTCGTGGGTCAGTCGAATAGTCTGCTCCAACCCACCAAACGCCCCCACCCACTCCAGCAGCCGCTCCCGTGTCCCCGTCCAAACCACCACCCCGTCGTCTATGAACCTGCGGTGGAGAAGGACGTGATGCGACAACTCGGGCTCTGTCTCTAGCAACCTCTCGTCTAACCAAGCCATGAACAGAACCGCGTAGATCACTGCTACAGGCGTGCCCATAGCACTAAAACGCGCGTAACTCAGCGCTCGGTGCTCCGTTCGGGGCGTGTGAAGGCTCGTCGGAGAGCCCTTCATCAGCCCTACACAGTGAGATGGAGACCTGCAAGTACCTAATAAGCTAACCCTAAACCCTAAACCCTAGCAGGAACACCGGTCGCGGGTAAGGCAGCAACGGCACCAGAAACAACAGCATCGGCTCCCCGTGCCACTCAGGCATTAGCCGCACCAGCAACAGTGGGTACAACAGGCACATCAGCAACAGTCAATGCAGCAGTGACACCTACAGCAACTCACACAGCAGTGACGCCAGCAGCAAGGGTGACAGCAGCAACAGCCGGAGCAACGGGCAACACAGCAGGGATAACAACAGCGGGTGACGCAGAAATGACACTGGTGGTGGCAGATGCAGCACTGGTACTCCCTTCATACACCAACCCAACCTTCACCCCAATTCCAGGGATAACGGGCCTGGATTCACCGGCTCCTACTCCTACTCCCACCGCCCCACAACCAAGTCTGAACCCACCGGCAGCACAAACCAGCCCAATGCCAGGCATGCTACACGTGGGTAGCACCAGCAGCCTCTTCATACAGGGTGCTGGGCCCAGCGGCATGAGGGGAGCGGGGACAGGGGCGTACACGGCAGCGGAGGAGCAATGTGAACAGCAGCCCACCGCAGCAACGACACTAGCTGCCAGGGAGGAAGAGGACGGGAGAGGGCCGGCCAGGACAGATGCAGATGCAGCCGCTACAGCTATCCCAGCAGCAGGAAGCACCGGCAGGGAGCAGGTGGAACTGAATGAGGGAGCAGGAACCAGCGCAGCCGAGGCAATGCAGAGGGCAAGACAGCCTGCGGAAGAAGCTGATGACACGAGACGAGCAACGGCAGGGATCTCTGTGCTAGCAACAATGAGGCTGGGAGAACCCTTGGTTGTCACAAGCAACCGCCTAAGCGATCTCCCACGAGCTTGCGAGGGCACTGGTGAGCTACCCCCTAACGGAACAGCACCCATCATGCCACCCACTACCGCGCTGCAGCAAGGACAGAGCCACCCGGGCAGCCCCACACCACCTTTGCCGGTACAGGATAATGCAGCAGAAGCCGCACCGCAAGCACAGCAGTAGCCGAACGATAGCAGCAGCAGTGAAGGGACCAAGGATGAAGGACCTAACAGGGACGGGACCCATATCCTCTACTGCCCTGTGGAGTTTGACCCATGTGGAGGAGAGGACGAAGCAGAGCATCCCGAGCAGCCTATAAGCCCAAAGAGCCAGGAAGACGCAGCCCCAGAGAGTGTGAAGCTGACAAAGAGAGAGATTGGCAAGACAACAGCAGCTCTTATGCGGGGTGAGCAGTTCGGCATGAAGGGTTTGGAAGCGGCATATGGGCTACAGGAAGCGGAAGATCTCCCTGCTGTTTGGCACCGTTTCTTCGAAGACATGCAGTCAATGCTACTCAACAAAGCACCACCAGAGCCCCCCGCTTCCTCGCCCTTCAAGACCATACCCGAGCTTTTACGCAAGGCGCTCGAGAAGGAGCTGGCCTCTTTCAAGAGCTGCCTTCGCACCTTCAGCAAGGTATCGAACGGCCTATGTGAGCTTCAGCAGCAGTTCAGGGATGGGGAGGTTTCCCACGCTCTCCGGATTACAACCCCAACGCTACAGCTAACTGACCCTACCCTGCAAGAGAAGCTGAACCAGGCCCTAGACAATAAGCTGAAAACCTTCAAAACAAAAGCTCAACTGACTCTGATAGGGTACAAAGAAAAGGAGAAGGCTCACTGGGAGGGGGCAGCAGAGGTATGGACGGCACGGACATACTCTCGCTTCGAGAGCTTCCTGGAGAAAGACCTCCACCTTTTCGAGACACATGCAGCACCTGATACCCCTACACCCGATGCTCACCTCAAGGAGCTGGCTGTCGACTACATGGCACGGGGCATGGCACGAGAGCTGATGTACCATGCTGTGTGGATCAAGGGCAGCCGCAACTCAAAGGCAAGGGGGGCAGCTAAACGGGAGAAGGCACGGGCTGAACAGGCACTGAGGGAGGAGATTCAAGCTAACCCTTCTACTGACCTAATTGGGCTGGTGAAAACTCTGGTTGGCCCCCTACAGCAACGGGTAGAGGCTCTGGAGCGGCGGCAGCCTAGGAGCGGGACTGCGGTAGAGCACGGGAAGGCAGCGGGAAAGAGCAGGGCTCAACGTCGTAAAGAAGCGAAGAGAAACAAGGCACGAAACGGAACCACCTCACAGCAACCCACAGCAGCAACAGCCCCTCAGGCAGGGAGGACCGCGGGGGGGACAGTGGCTATTCCAGCAGCAGCAACATCAGCAGAGGGACTGGGGGGAGGCGAGATACAAGCCGGGGGGGTGACTGAAATAGCAGCAATAGTTACACCGGCAACAGTTGCTGCGACGACAGCAGGACCAGCAGCCATTGCAACGGAAATGCAAGGAGCAGCAGGACCAACGGCAGCAATAGCTTCAACCAGTGCCACTACACAGCCAGCGCCAGCACCAGTAGCAACAACACCAAGGGCAGCAGACACAGCTACGCCATCGGGAGCAGCCGGAGTAGCAGCACAACCGGCACCAGCGACGATCTCTGCTG